CTTAGCCGGCTAAGCCAAGTCCAGCCGGCTTAGCCGGCTAAGCCGTTAAATTCCTTAGCCGGCTGATATCACTAGTCCCATTTTACTTCAAATTTGATTAAAATAGTCCTTTTCAAATTTGCTTGAAACCAAAAAACATGGCTTTTATGAATGTAACTTTAGAATACAAGGAAGAAATAGTAAAAGCGCTAAGGAACTTTATAATCACAAAAAAATAATTTTGGATCCTACATAAGCAAAATTTTAAAAATTTACACACTCCAAAAAAAATTTTTTTTATAACAATAAACTCCATATGATAATTTAACCAGGAATGCGCCCATGTGCTTGACAGCATTAGTAGCCTTCAATCCTATTATGTCTTCCTGATACGCATCCATATATTTCTTTGGTATATATGCGCATTCGTTCAATATAGACTGAATTTAAAGCCTCTAGAGCTATAATCTCCATATTTCTAAAAGTACAATCTTATTTGGCTCACGCATACCTTTTGGCTGTTTCCGATTAGTGTTGGCTCCCAAAACTATAGAGTTTCGCAATTGTGTGAAAGTCGAAACTTGTTTTGACTTTTGCCTCTTGAAAATAGTTTAGACGACCAACACTATCCTCCAATAAAGTTCAATTCACAATGAAACATATTGTTGACTTTTGAACAATTGATCTTTCTTCCACAAAGTAAGGTTGAAGTGAAAAAACTCTGTCTGCATAACAATCATATTTAACTGGCGAATGTTTTTTTACAATCAATCATTGTCGGAATTTTTTCAAGCTTTTTTTCGCCGTTCCACAAATCTCTTTCTCCCATAATTTTTTCAATTCCCTTGAATTGGACCATTTGGAAAATGCATTTTTTGGGGAGTGCTATCTGGAAACTTTTTATCGTAATATTTTTCGTTTCCATGAGGTTTTAAATTCATCGCGTGAGCTGACAAAGCGTCTGATTAAAATGATGATACAACCACAGAATCTAGATAAAGCTTGTTAAATATTGGAATTGTTTTTTCCTAGTTCTGTTGTAAAGAGGATTAGTGATTTTTTAGAATAAAAAACAATCAATAAATTCATCTGTTTAACAATCATTCAGTTGTTTACCATATCACACGAGCTTCCTTTTTTTCAAGTAATTGTCGGGAAACGTCAGTGGATCGGGGTAGACCCATAATAATAATAATAATAATAATAATAATATAATAATACGATTAGCTAATTTAAATATATTAATGTATAAAGTGATCGAACCATGCGTGTATTTATAATATTGTGACACCAAAGAATATCATCGATTTGAGAATTTGACACCCCTATTAATCGTGAACGCTTTCAGAAAATCTCGATGGTCCACTATTTGTGAACTTGTTTATAAAACAGACTTCCTTTCTTGAAAAAACTGTAGGTTAATGCGTTTTGAAAAAAAAAAAATAAGATTTCCAAAAAATATGCAAGGCTAATAATATCTTATATCGGACAAAAAATGTTCTATTCCGAAATTAGAATTTTTTTTACGCCTTTATTAATAATTGTTAATTAATTGTTAATTAACTGTTAATTAAACAAGTTTTTAAACCAAGATGCAACGGTGAGTTTTGTCGAAATACAGATTAGCATTATAGTGCACACCATCCATCTAAAGACATCTAATGTTACGTGAGAGCATCCAAAAACGGAATGATGTTATTTGATTCCACTTATTATTATATATGGGGCATGCTGCAACAAAACCAGACAAAGTGAACATTTGTATTACCAAGGATTTCAGGGATCAAAATTTAGTCATTTGTAATGTGATCATAATTAACAGTTTTATAATATCCCAT